GATTTAGTTGGGGTTGGTCCTGCTTTGGGCAGGGGGTTGGACTTGATGACCTCCTGTGGTCTCTTTCAGCCCTATGAGTCTATGATATGGAAGCCATTCCATACACTTGATCATTTCTGGTGCCTTTCTCTGAACCTGTTCTGATTTCACTATATCCTTTTTTAGCTGGGGTGACCAGAACTGGACTCAGTATTCACAATACAGGTTTATGTAGTGGCATTGTGATATGATGATATGATGATAGTCACTTTGCTATGCATCATTGAGGTTCACGTTCATTTTTCTTTTTGCTTTCTAAAGTCCTGATCATGCAAACACATGTATAAGTGCTCAATTTTAAGTACATGAGTAATTGTTTTAGTATTGTGGAATATCCATGTGTATCTCCTAATGATCAAATTTACTCTAAGCAAAGAGGATTTTTTTATCTTAACTGTGAATTCCAGTGTGGCCAATGCTCATAACATTGAGTCTTATGATATTTGGTGCTTTTTCTGAAAGACCCAGCTTTTGGAGTTATGTTATTAAGATTAAAGTCTCAGCTGTCATTAAAAAAAGTATCTACCCATTATGGGTCTGGAGAAAAGCATGAAAATATGACCCCTAACGCTCAAAAAACAGAAGACAAATCTTTAAAAACCCTAACATGTATTACTTTTAAAAGATCATTTTGAAGCCGATCTTATGATGGGGGGAAGGGGAGCTTGACTAATTATTTTTAAACCTTTTGATGCTGAAACTACCTTGAATCTGAAAGACAAGATAGGTTCTTTCCATTTTACACATTGGCACCAGCAAGAACGGTTCTATAATCAAAACATACATCATAGCTGTTAATGGAATGGAGCAGAACAACTCTCCCAGGGCTGGCAGGAGTAAAAAGTAGTTTAAAAAACAAACAAAATTAAAAAAAACACCCTCTCATTCAGCTCCCCATCATCTCACATCTCAGTTACTGCAACATCCTCTTCTTTGACCTTGTCAAATGTCTTCTTGCCCCACTTCTGTCCATTCAGAATATTGTTGCTAAGATCATTTACCTTTGCTTGTCACTTCGACCATGGCACCCCTCTCTCTGTATCCATCCATTAGCTCCTCCCTCTTTTGTTGCATCAAACATAAGCTATTGTCTTCCCTGTCAAGACCCTTCCTGATCAGTTTTCTTCTCACTTTATGAGATCTGACAACAGACTTCACCAAGCCCTGGGTAATGTGGGGCGGAGGGGGGAGGCTCGGCCCCAGAAAAGGGAAGGCCACGGGCAGTAGGGGGAGGGCTAGGGGCTAGCCTTTCTCAGCCACCCCTCAATGCCACCCAGACTATGCTCTGTGGGGACTCCAGCAGTGATTTAAAGGGCCACAAGCCCTTTTAAATTGCCAGGTTCTGGGGCAACAACCCCCTTTGCTCCTCCTCCTCTTGGCAGCCCTGCACCCTATCTAGCACCTCTCCTAAGCTATCAAGATGTTGTTTCCTGCTTCTGTAATGATGCCAGCCTTGATCTCTCTACCTGTTAAATTTTGAAACAAGCACCTTCCTGGTTTCTGCTCCTCCCACTTGGGAGGAGATCTCTGTAAAGGGCCACAAAACTACCTCATAATAATCTTTCAAAGCCTTCCTCAAAGCTTTCCTTTGCCGTGATGCCTTGAAGGGGAAAAAAAGACAATGATTAAGCTGCTGGTGAAACAGCTCCTTACCATGCGGACCAATATAGTCTCAGTATTTCCTTTTGTTCCCCCATTTGTCTGTTTGTAGCTATCTGTTGAGTATTGTCCTTTACTTAGGCTATAAGGGTGTGTCTAGACTACAGGGTTTTTTCAAAAAAAGTGGCCTTTTTTCGAAAAAACTTCCCCTGCATCTGGACTGCTGCCACATTCTTTTGAAAGTAAATCGAAAGAACGCAGCAGTTTTTCGACCGCAGAAAACCTCATTTTATGAGGCAGAACGCCTTTTTTTGAAAGTGCTCTTTTGAGAAAAGGCGCTATGTAATGCAAACTGTGCTTTTTCAAAAGAGAGCATCCAGACTGCTTTTTCAAAAGTTCTGGTTGTAGTCTAGATGCTCTTTTTCGAAAGAGGTTTGCAGTCTAGACGTAGCCTAAGGCTACATCTAGACTGGCATGATTTTCCGCAAATGCTTTTAATGGAAAAGTTTTCCCGTTAAAAGCATTTGTGGAAAAGAGCATCTAGATTGTCACGGACGCTTTTGCGCAAAAGCACTTTTTGCGGAAAAGCGTCCGTGCCAATCTAGACGCTGTTTTGTGCAAGAAAGCCCTGATCGCCATTTTCACCATCGGGGCTTTTTTTGAGCAAAACGGTTCTCAGCTGTCTACACTGGCCCTCTTGTGCAAAAGCATTTGCACAAGAGGGCTTTTTCCCAAATGGGAGAGTCATTGTATTTGCGGAAGAACACTGACAATCTTACATTAGATCGTCAGTGTTCTTGCGCAAATTCAAAGCGGCCAGTGTAGACAGCTGGCAAGTTTTTCCGCAAAAGCAGATGCTTTTGCGGAAAAACTTGCCAGTCTAGACGCAGCCTAAGTGTCTTGGAAAATGTACCATCTTTGGGCAGGGGAGAAAAGATACACAACGCTTAGCACAGTGGGCCTTGGTCCATGATTGGGGCACAAGAATACTTGTGCAAGAGGGCCAGTGTAGACAGGGAAGAATCATTTTGCGCAAAAAAGCCCCGATGGCTAAAATGGCAATCGGGGCTTTCTTGCACAAAATCGCGTCTAGACTTGCCACGGATGCTTTTGCACAAAAGCACTTTTTGTGCAAAAGCATCCGTGCCAATCTAGACTCGCTTTTGCGGAAATACTTTTAATAGAAAAACTTTTCTGTTAAAAGTATTTTCACAAAATCATGCCAGTCTAGACGCAGCCTAAGTGTCTTGGAAAATGTACCATCTTTGGGCAGGGGAGAAAAGATACACAACGCTTAGCACAGTGGGCCTTGGTCCATGATTGGGGCTCCTATGATGTACCACAATAATCTTGTTTTTGTCACATCAGACATTGAATTTATACAGAAAGCAGATATGTTGAGAAAGAAAGCCCACTGACTTTTACATAGCCATCAGTGGTAGATATGAATAGTTAATACCTTATTTTTCTAGGGCAAGAAAGGAAAAAATGTAAGATACTTCTTTTCACACTTTCTTTGCTCAGATTAAGGTCACAATTAAATTGCTGACCTAGGACTTTTTCCAACAGAGGCCCCAGCCCTCCGGAGAATGTCTCCAGGCCCTGGGATAGAAAGCAGGGCAATCAGAAGCTGCAGAACTGGCCCTTTAATTAGGTGTGCTGGGAGAGCAAAATTACTAATGTATGTGCTGGGGAGATGGAGGGCAGTATTAAGTCATCTCCAGCAGAAGACAGAAGACTTTGTGTACTGTTATGTAAATGTATGTAAATTTAAGCAGTGGGAAGGTATGCAAATATAGCTCAGATGGACCTCAGGGAGCCATGCCTATCCTTTGCTTCCATTTGCTGTAATTTGTTCTGATATTTGTGAGATGAGCTGCCTATGAGATGAGCTGCCAGGGCTTTGTGGTGGTGTCTTCCTCCCATTTGAGCTTCTCTGCTTGTGAATTGCCCCATTGCTTCTTTTGAGAGGCATTTTTCACTGGTATGTTAGCAGATGGCCTCCTCTGTCCCTATTCCAAAAGGCTGCACTATCCCAGTGCTCTGGGTTACACACCCTCTTTTCTTCCTCAATGATTTTTAGAACAAAAAGTAGTCCTGTGGCACCCAACATATATATATATAGAGAGAGAGAGAGCGAACTTTTGCAGGCAGAACCCAATGATGTTCATGTCATTCTGCACTTTGAGGAGTTTTCCTTTTGAAGCAAATTCTAGTTAGTTTTTGTTGTTCTGTAGAGTTAGTTGTGGTGGCAAAGAGCTTTGCATTCACAGCAGTTGATACTGATACTATTCTACTGCATTGCATAGTTGTTTTTCTAAAATAAAGCCTTTTTCATCTCTTTCAGTGCCCTTAGGCTTATAGTGCACAGTCCATTTTGGGGGGGATAGGAGGGTGGCAGGTGAGGCACTTGTAAAGCCCTATTTTGTGAGCTATACAAAACATACCCAGTGAAAAATGTAACAACAGGGAGCCATGCCGGCTCTTTCACCCATTGCATTAAAACAATTAAATCACCCATGTATACAATGCATGCTCTGTTTGCTGTGTTTTAGCATATTTGTTTAGGGTCCTATGGCATAAACATTACCTCTGAGGGACAATTAAAGCAAAAAGGAAACAGAGCTTGATTGCAAACAGCAAAAGATTGTTTATTGCTTTGTTTTCGCCTCCACCATTACTATTTTTCCTATTATATGGCAAAACAAAAGGAAGATTGAACAATCCACAACTCAAGAATTGTTTTTCTGAAGGTCTGAGTTTGGTGCAGCAGCTTGTTCATTATTTCCCATTAACCTCACTAGAAGGTAGTTGTAAATTACAATTTTCTTTTATTTTAAGGAACATATATGTAAGCAGGGTCTGAATAAATGCTTCCATTACAGCCAGCTGGATAGGAAAGGAAATCCTAGGTGTGGTTATGTAAATACAGTTCATTCAGTTTGCTTAGATCTGCTAGATATTCAACTGTTAGAATAGGGGTGGGCAAGATACTCCTTGCAGCCCAAATTCGGTCCGCCTAGCCACCTGATCCAGCTCATGGACCACATTGCTAGGACCCTCCGGCATGCAGTGCAGGGTTGTTCCGTGTGCCTCTCAGTTTTGGAGGGAGGAGACAGCTTTGGCTTTGGATGAGCTGCCCAGCCCAATCCTCAGCTCCTATTGGCTAGAAACAATCAGCCAATAGAAACTGATCTCAGCCAATCTCTCAGCTCTGATTGGCTAGAAACAATCAGCCAATAGGAGCAGAGAAATTAGCCTGGGGGACAGCAGCAGTGCAAGCCTCCCCTTCCCCCTCTCAGAGCTAAGAGCCACATGGAGGGAGCAGCCTGAAGTTTCAAACTGCCTGGAGCTGCAGCAGGCAGGGAGCCCAGCCTGCCTTGGGGTGCTGCAGGGTTGCTGGCCGGGAGATGCTTAGGTAAGTGCCTCTCAGCCAAAGCCTGTCTCTGGCACCCTTACCCCTCCCACACTACCATTCCCTCCTCCAGGTCACCATCCAAACCCTCTGCACTCCCCTCCTCAAGTCACAACTCCCTCCCAGACTCTGTACCTTCCCTCCAATCCTTCTCCAGGCCAGAATCCTCTCCTGCAGCCACACTCCCTCCCTGACCTTACACCCCAAACCCAGGGGTGGGCAATAATTTTTGGTGGGGGGGGGACTACTCCAAGATTTTGGAAAGCAGACAGGGGCTGCACTTTTCTGTGGAGGAGATGCAGGGTCTAGGATGGAGGCTGGGTGCAAAAGAGCACATGGGGTAAGGGACTGGGGTCAGGAAGCAGAGTGAGGTCTGAAAGGATGTTTGAGTGAAGGAGGGGGTTGTGACCTGGGTCAGAAGTTTGGGGTGTGGGGTCAGGGATGGAGTGTGGGAGCAGGAGAGGACTGACCTGAGCAGAGAGCCCTGAATAGCACCCTCTGCTCCTTGAAAGCATTGAGGAAGCCAGTGAATGCTGCCCAAAGGAACTCTACCTGGATGCGTGAATGGATAAAGGAACGAAAACAAGCCCCACAGTTACAGGCCCCTGCCTCAGCCAAGCTCCACTCCCAGGCAGTATGAATGGCCACTTTATCATCATACCTATATCTCTTTCCATCAAGATTTCTCTGTTGTAACTTACTTCTTCCCCTTTTTCCAATTCTAATCGTATTTCTTTTGACTGCCAACTTCCCCCCACCCCTCTTGGAATCACTTGCTATTCTAGCCATGCCCGCTCTAGACACGCTAAACACTGTTGTCTCCAACACTATCCCATCCAGCACTCCTGACTCTTGTACCTGCTCCTGAGTTTTTTCTGCTCAGCCTGTCAGGCTGTTTGGCTGGAGGGAGAACTAATTGTAATTCACCCCCCTGCTTGCCTTGCATGTACAGAGAGAAAACAATCCTAAAATGTTGTTGACCAATGTCCAATGGGTCTAAGTATACTGAGTGTGTTTCTCTGTGCCACACATACAGCAATCAAATAAGATGACAACAGAAATTCACTAGGCCAATTTCTTGGAGCGATGTAAAGGGGGGAAAATAAGACACAACATGGCTTGGGAAATTTCTCCAGTGAAAGGGACATCCTTGGCTAGCAGAGAGCAATTGCAATGGCTTTATGAATGAGGGGCCAGTGACCTGGCCCCCTGGGAAGGCTAGCTTCTGGCCCCTGTCTTTGTGCCCTCCTCTTCTACCTCCCTCAGCTCCACAGGAGCGCTAAGGATGCCCACCGCAGCCCACAACACCAGCACTGTTCAGCTGGGGGCAGGGAGGCAGCTTCTGGGCGCTGCGGCTGCTGCACACACAGCCCCAGAGCAGTGGGCAGGTAACGCATCCAATCCCAACTCCCTGTGGGAAGTACACTGCCCTGCAGGAGGGGCAACAATAGGCTGTTTGGGGATGCTCAGCCTCCCACTGCCTACAATAGCCACCGCCCATGCTATTGCACCAATATTGTATTAAGCCATAAATGAGCCAGACAGATTCCAGGGATGTGTCTGTCAGTGTCCCGCTGAGACACGGAGAACCTGGCATGAGCTGGTGACCAGTCTGCCAACATCACAGCATCTACTTATGGAGAGATTTTCAGCTTGTATAAATAAGGTAAAACATTGCACAAGCACACCTAGAGGAGCACTATAGGAGGTTCTGTAATCTGTGATCTCATTATATAAGAGCCTTCAAAACAGGCCAGAACTAGAGCCAGTATTTGTTCAGTATAGAAAGTAGTATGCACGCACACATACGCATACGTACACACATTTTACCTTATGTTTCACGTTAGAATGAATCCACAATATCCAACCAAAACAGATGAAAGTTTGAAACTGCCTGGAAATGGGGGATTTTACTTGGTTCTCATGGAAAGCTTTAAACCAACCCAGGCTTGCTTGAAAGGTCTATGAAACTGTCAGTGGACCTGAGGGCTCTTTCATATCAACAACACTAGGCTTGGTAGTGGATCTATAACGCTGAATGTCCATGGCCAAATTATATGGCTTTATTCCAGGCATTTTAAAGTCTGTGCCAAAACAGAGCACTACTCCAAATGTTGAGGACTGTACTTGATTTGATGGTTCTATTTCTTTTTCTTTTCTTCTTTATGAGAAGCAATCCCATTCCAGGCACATTCCATCTTCCTAGCACAAACAAACCCTGACCTTGCTTTACATTATAATATGAGGAAGTTATATACCGAATTTGGTGGTCTTAGTTCTTATAATTTAGGAGGAGTTCTTGAACAGACAGACAAGCAAACTTTCTAAAATGTATAATGGAAAGATTCACAATAACCACAATGTGGACAAGAGGAGAAAATACAGTTGCTTGTTAGAAACACACCCAGAGGAAATAAGGCCATTCTCTAGATAAGTAGCAATCAGCAGAAAACTGCCATGCCATCGGGTTTTACAAAGGACAGTGTGGAATGTGTTCGAAGATTAGAATGGAATGAAAGTTGTAAAAAGCCAAATACCTGACAGAAGAATGAGAAAAGAGCATGGTCTGGGAGTCTGCAGAAATGATTCAAATAAATCTCTGTGCTTTGGCAAAAAGAAATGAAGAAACAGAGAGAAAATAACCCATATGATTCATATATTTTTCTCTCACACTTTTTCAGTTCACGTATGTCATGTTTAAGATGAGTTCATGCCATTTTCCCTTTCAAAGGGAACAATGTGCTTTTAGTTATACTGTAAATGTTCAGTATTGAAAAGTCTCAGAGGGGTAGCCATATTAGTCTGTATCTGCAAAATCAACAAGGAGTCCTGTGGCACATTGGGGTGTGTCTACACTGCACCCTAAATTCGAAATAAGAGACACAATTTGTGCTACGCAAATTGCGTATCTTATTTCAAAATAGATGATTTTGAAATATGGCGTGTCTACACAGCACCAAATTTCGAAATAACGCACCACTTCGAGCCATCCCTTCCCCCTTGTGCAACGATGATTACCGGGATGGCAAAATAGCATGCCCGTTATTTCGAAAAATATTTCGAAATAATGGGCAGCTTGTGTAGATGCAGGGTAGCTATTTCGGGATACCAGAGCTATCTCAAAATAGCCTTGCAGTATAGATGTACCCTTAGAGACTAACAGATTCATTAGGACATAAGCCTTCATGGGTAAAACCCATCTGATGAAGTGTGTTTTATCCACAAAAGCTTATGCCCTAATAAATCTTTTCATCTCTAAGGCCATGTCTACACTAAGAAACTATTTCAAAATTACTAAATTGGATGTAAGAACTCCCAATTTAACACATTCGAACTAGCGTATCCTCACTACAGGGAAGCATCAAAATTGGTCAGAGGCAGACTCCATTAATGTGGATGCGCTACTTTGGACTTAGAGTTCCAGGAAGTACTCTAGGGTACTGTGGGAGGCCTCCCAGAGGCCAATTAGTTTGAATTAGTGGCACCAGAATGTACACACTAATGTTATTTCAAAATTAGTGTTACTTCTTGTGAAAAGCAGGAGTACAGAGTTTGAATTTTTTTTTAAATTCCACTTACAAATTTGAACTTGGGGGGGTTATTTCATAATAAGGTCCTTGAGTAGACCAGGATTCATGTTGCCACAGGACTCCTTATTTTTGCAGATACAGACTAACATGGCTACCCCTCTGAGACATTTCACCATGCAAGGCACTGCATTTAGCCATATGAAGTGGAAATCTACCAACTTCATGAAGAAACTTGCACAGATACAAACAGACATCATATTCCTCTCCAAATGCAAACAGATGGATATCATACCCAATGGACTGAAAAATCCATTCCAATCAACATAGCACACAAACTACAGTGAGAGATTGTGTCATACACTCGCAAAGAAACTGAGGAACCACCTAATCAGCATCCTATATAGCAAACAGGAGAAGATCAATAATGAGATCTCAAAACTGCAAACGTCCATGTGGCTGGACTTTACAAAAATAAGACAAGCCATTTACAATGTACACTTTACTTCCCCACAGAAGAAGCAATTCATCTGATGAAGTGTATTTTACCCACAGAAGCTTATGCCCTAATAAATCTCTAACGTGTCAAAGGACTCCTCGTTTGTTTCAGTATTTAAAGTATGACCTATTTACTTGTTGGTCTGATTTATATTAAACTGCACCTCATTAAAGGTTGCTGATGGGGAATGCAAAAAGGGCAGCTACCCCCGGGCCTGGCAATTTAAAAAGGACTGGGGCTTTTCCCCCCCCCCCCCCCCCCCCCCGGTCAGAATCCCAGGCCCTTTAAATCACTGCTGGCACCCCGGTGATGTGGGGCAGGCAGCATTGAAGGGTTGACTGAGGGAGACTTAATTCCCCCCCCATCCCTTGCCTCACGCCTTCTTGGGGCCCAGAACCACACACACACCCCTTGCCCAAGAGCCTGGCAATTCTGTCAGCAACCCTGACCTCATGAAGTAAAGTAATACAGAATCCCAGGCCCTTTAAATCACTGCTGGCACCCCGGTGATGTGGGGCAGGCAGCATTGAAGGGTTGACTGAGGGAGACTTAATTCCCCCCCCATCCCTTGCCTCACGCCTTCTTGGGGCCCAGAACCACACACACACCCCTTGCCCAAGAGCCTGGCAATTCTGTCAGCAACCCTGACCTCATGAAGTAAAGTAATACATTTTATAATTGGAAAAGGGGTTATATATCATTCTAATGAGAAAGAGGTAGGGAAGACAGCTTTACTGGCTTATAAAAAGTAAAACAGTAGGTAACTCACTAGAAACACAGTAAGAATATATCAATAAACTCTCATTTTCAAAAGAATGTAAAACTCCCAGGACACTAACTTGGAAGCATCCTATCATTCCTCTGCTGCGCCATATTTTCTGGAAAGTTTATAAGCAAGTTTCTATCTTTCAGTTAAGTCTCTGCAAACTTCTTCCAGAGAGTCTTGCTGAAACAAAATGAGTTGTAAAAACAAATCTGAAAGTTTCTATTCAAGGGAAAAATGAATACTTGCAAGTTTATGCACAGCAAAGTACTTGAGACTTTCTGCATGGTACACACTGTTTCAAGAATTACTTAAAGCAAAGTGGCATAAAAATGTGACATTATTGTTATATATTTGGGCAGTGGTTTCCAACCTTTTTTCATTAGCAGACCTCTAAAAAATGTCACATGAAAGTGCAGACCTCTTTGGAAATCATAGACATAATCTGCAAACCCTGGGTTAGGGCCTATTATCCGAAATTACTAGTTGTATTAATGTTAGGAAAGTGTTGTAGCAATTTATAACAGGCTTATTACCATAAATATGACTGCAAATAAACAGCATTTCATCTGAACATTTCAATAATGCACTCAAACATACATTTAATTGACATAATGTACTACCACTCACTGTTTCCTTCTCTCACTCTCTCTTTACATAGACTCAAGGCTAGTAACATTCATAATAAACATAAACCAATTTCATTTCAGCCTTCCAAATATATGTTGCCTACCTCCATGTTAGTAAAAAGGGTGTTTAATCCTGCCAAGAGCTTTTTAGCCAAACATTCAGAATAAGGTGTTCATATTCTTCCCAAAAAATCATCATTAAAGTGACTACAATTGTAGATAATTGGTATGGTAATGTAATGGGTACAACTGTATTTCAAGTCCCGCCTTCATTATAAATCCATTTGGCATCCATTCTTATTGTCGGGCAACCCTTGCAAAGAATTTATTTCATGTTTCTGTGGATGGTTTCTGTGGCTTGTGCTATTATGGCACTTCTATTGTAATCCAACATTAATTATATTTCCCATTAATGCAGTGCAAAATGCTTGGATTTTGTAAATGAGAAAATTGAGCTCATTTCAGTCTGCTTTGATCACATTTTATCTTTATTACACCTTGGTACAATAATTCTCTTCCTTTTCAGTCAGGTTATTGATATCCTGAACACACAGAGGGAACCATCTTTCTTATAGATTTACACTATTGTTTGCCTTTTCCAGGGTTTCTATCATTTCCACTAGTGTTTTAAAATATTTTATTGCTTTATGTTTGTTACTGAGCTCATAAAAGATAAGATGGAAGGAACTGAACTAATAGGGCACTATCTGGGATGGAGACAGTAAATAGCCATAACAGCAGATACTGGTGAAAGATACATGTAAGGCAGATTACAGATAACCATGTATTTAAAACTGAGTCCCAAAACTGTGCTCAGAAGAGGAAAAGATTTTTATTCTTTCTGAGCTGAAAAATCTAACCTTTCCCCCCAGATGTTGTATATCAAAAATTCTGTTCAAAGTTGAGCCACTGAGTGCCAAACTGTCAGTGGAAAAGAGACCATCCTTACCTGTGCATGGTGAAGGAATCTATGACAGGTATATTCCTAAGACATCAGTTCTAATTTTTTGCTAGCTTTGCTTTTTTAAATTAATTGTGAGTCAGGTCTTTTGTAGAATGGTTGACGTAATGCCTGTGTATTGACACATGACATCACATGCCTGTGGAACAACTGACTGAATATCATTTTTGGATTAGTGGCGTTTTGAGCCCAATGTTAAATAGGGAGTTTGTTTGAACCAAGATGATCTAGTCAAATCCCATTAGGTGATACCAATGGCTTCAGAAGGAGAGCAGCCCATTCTGGTTTGCCACTAGAGTCCTGAGGAGGAATTCCAAGGGGAGGAACCAGAGAGACCTCCAGCTTCAAAAACTAGGAAAGGAAGAAGGCTTTGCTTGCTTGCCTGAAATGGCTGCTGTCGTGGCTGTAGCTGCCATTGTTAGCTGCTGGCTATTCAATGCCATCAGGTCTGAGCAAGAGGCTTGTGCTTCCTCCTCCCTCCTGAAGGGCCACTGAAGGGTAGGAGGCATCTCAGTGTTGACATCCACAAACAAGTAACCTCTAGTCAGCCAACAAGTCCATTGACACTAAAGTGTCTGAGTCAGTGATACCACCAACTAGTTTTTTCAACTGTACACCCACTTCCCAAAGCTGAATGAAACCATCAGTCACCATAATCATTCCAGTTTTCTTTTATTTTTTGTTAGTTGTGGGGTTCATATCAACAACTGGAACATTTTGGTTGTCTTTGTTTCCAGCAGATGGCTGGTGAACATGTGCGGGCATATATAGAGTGCAGCACCTATAGACTAGTTCTTCAAATACTTAAACAGCCCTGGGTTAAACAACCTGATATCTAAAAGATATGGTCTATGGATTGGGGATGAGTGCTTAATCCTGAGAAATCATGTTGCTTTCACCTGCATTTGAATATTAAAAGGTAACAAGCTGTGTCATGTTGAATTGTGTTGGAATGTTTCACTTTGACCTCCTCCCGCCCTCACAGTCTATATTCCTCAAACAAAATCAGCCCTCTCCTCCCTCCCTGGTTGTGCCATATTTGCTTGGCATGTCTAGTGTTTATTTTCTGCTACCATCATTTAGAGCAGGTTTACGGTCATTTAGGGCGTGTCTACACAGCAAAGTTATTTCGCCATAACAGCTACTATTCCGAAATAACTATGCGAGCGTCTAGACAGCAATTCCGTTATTTTGAAATAATTTTGAAATAACGGGCGGCTTATTCCGACTTCTGTAAACCTCATTCTACAAAGAATAACATCTCTTCTGAAATAGCTATTTTGAAATAAGGCATGTGTAGCTGCTCCTCTTCTGCCGTTTCGAAATAGCCCCTCACCAACACCATTCTAAGTTATTCCTTCTGGGGCTCTAAATCGAGATAGCACATCTACATTAGGGAAGCCTGCCTCAGACTAATTTTGAGACTTCTCTCCAGTGTAGATAGGCTATTTTGAAATAAGCTAATTTGGAATAAGTATTCCGGAATAGCTTATTCCGAAATAACCGCAGTGTAGATGCACACTTTGGCTATGTCTAGACTGGCCAGTTTTTCTAGAAAATCAGCCGCTTTTCTGGAAAAACTTGCCAGCTGTCTACACTGGCCGCTTGAATTTCCGCAAAAGCACTGACTTCCTATTGTAAGAAATCAGTGCTTCTTGCGGAAATACTATGCTGCTCCTGTTTGGGCAAAAGTCCCTTTTGCGCAAAACTTTTGCGCAAAAGGGCCAGTGTAGACAGCTGAGATTTGTTTTGAGCAAAAAAGCCCCGATCGCGAAAATGGCGATTGGGGCTTTTTTGTGGAAAAGTGCATCTAGATTGGCCATGGATGCTTTTCCGCAAAAAGTGCTTTTGCAGAAAAGCGTCCATGCCAATCTAGACGCTCTTTTCCGAAAATGCTTTTAACGGAAAACTTTTCCGTTAAAAGCATTTGCAGAAAATCATGCCAGTCTAGATGTAGCCTTTGTGAATTGTAGACAGTTCTCCCTACTAAAGTGGATATGACTGCCACAGGGTAAGAAAATAAAAAGGGGAACAGGACAGAAAAAAGCAAACCATGTTTTTGGGGTGACCTTATAAGGAAAGAGCGGGGCACCTTATAACTATGACTGCCAGAGTGTGTTCATGTTGCCTGAACACAGCATTTGTGGTAAAGCCTTTGTTCTTAAATTACATGGTGAGGGAGGATGAAAGTGCAAGCACATCATTCCTTTTCTCAATTTCCTTGGAGCGAACGCTCTTTCTGCCCGTCCATTTATCTCACTCGCAGTGATTATTTCTGGGACAGAAGCTGGCAGACACCATTGAAAAGGAAAGTGAGAAAGGAAACAAAGGGAAAAAACAAGAAAGCAAGAACATGAGGGAAACTCCAGCTTCCAGTCTGTCTTATTCATTCTCCAGATATCTATCTAGGGGTTAGGGACAGATCAGAAAGTCTAGTTAACTCCTCCACTCTGCAACATCCATTCTTTCTCCGGAAACAATGGCAGGCTGTTAGAAAGGATTCATTTATATAGAATTCTTCAAACAAATTTCTTGGAAAATCAATTTAACATACTGAATAGATTTCCAATGACTTCATCAGCTTTGAATAATGCCAGTACTTTCTTTATTGCATTCTACATAGAATTCTACAAAACAACATTGCAGCTAAAATGAGTTTAAAAAACAGGGATTGATCCTACAATCCTTATCAAAGTACTCCCACTGAACTCAATGGCACTAATCACATGGGATTGATAGTTCATAAACTGTGCATATATTACCTTTAAAATACATTTAAATCAAGAGGCCTGGGCTGTACTATACAATTAAGCAACATTAATGCATATACAAAGAAAGGGTTAGACTCTGCCCTTATTTTACTCAGTTAAGAAAGTAAGGCCCTACTCATCACCAGCCTAGCTAGATCTGGGTTTCATTTGGAACTTATCCCCTGCTCTCAGACACTCCCTGCTTCAAGCAAGTGAACAGCAAGGGGTTGGAGTCTTAGCTCTACCCCTCTCTTCTACCTCCACCCCCAGCTGGAATAGCTGGCTCAGTGCAAAAGGGTGAAGTAAATGACACCCTTTCAAGGGCTGATGTAACTTATTCTTTATCTAGAACAGAAGGGGAACAGGGAAGGAACAGTGCTTTGGCAGGATAATTCTTGAGGGGATACATCTTACAAAAGACACAAGCTAGCTGAAAGTACATTTTTTTAATAATATTGGGAACATAGTTCATTTTCATCAATGAGCATGGATTGATAATTCCTTGAGTTATAGAAATTAGAGATGGAAAAGTCCTAGAAGACTTAGTCCATCTCCCTGCCTCCATACAACTGTTCTTTATAGTCCATGTCTCCAGTCTACTTTTAAATCACACCCGTGATAAGAAGCTATAGAAACCTGTTAAGACATATTCACTGTTAGGGTTCAGAAAACATTTCCTGATATGCAGTCTAAACATATTTACCTCACTTTCATCCCATTATTCCTAGCTATTTCAGCACCTTAATTAATTCCACTCTTTCTGCTCTAATACAACAATGGAGATACCACACTCCCCACTGCGTAGTTGCACTATTTTATTCCTTATAGATCCCTGATCACTTATATTGCTCTGCCATGAATTTTCCCCAGTTTGTTCTTCTGGTATCTGGGTGTCCAAAATTACAGGAGTCCTTGTCTGATCTCTCCACTGTCACACACAGAAATTATGTCACATCCCTGGTCCATGATACAAAACCTTTGGATTTACAGTCTAAAACTGAATTGGCTTTTTGTTTGTTGCCAATGTCAAATTACAAACTCATGTCTCACTAGCAGCCCACAAGCACCCTTTCATCTCCTTCCCATCACTGCTTTCCAAGTGACTTGCTCCCAATAAATGCCTTCATTCCAATTTACACTTGTATTAATTTGTACTCACCACTCCAATTTCCTTTTCATTATTGCTCTGCCTTCAGTGGTCTTTGCATAAAACTTCCTAATATAGCAGAAACAGTGAACTTTTGGGCAGTGCTGTCTATCTCTCTCTCAACTTGCTTGGATAAAAATTGTAGATAGATAGATAGCACTTCTTCATTATGGGTACAGCTACACAACAGTATTATTTCAGAATAACTGATGTTAATCCAAAGTAACATAGTCTGCATCTACACTACAAGCCGTTATTTTGACAGAATGTCAAAATTATGTCGAGCTGGAGGACTTTTTACTCCGACTCCTGTGACCTTCATTGTACGAGGAGTAAGGGAAGTCGGAGGCAGAGTGCTCTTTCTCGGACTTCCTGCTGTATAAACAGCACCAAAAGCCAAATTAAGCTATTTCAACTTACACTACGCAATTGACGTAGCTTAAGTTGCATAGCTTATTTTGGCTTTATCCCTGCTGTGTAGACATGCCCTCAGGCTTCAGTTCTGCATACCATATTCGCATAACTTGCTTTAAGTTAAAGTATCCTATGTCTAGTCAGCAAAACATTGAAGTTCCTTTATTAATTTGATGAGTAATCCCACTGATTATGCTTAAAGTGAAGCAGGTGCTTAAGAGCTTTACCAAACTGTAGCCTGATTGGTGATGGTATGAGAAAACCAAACTTACTAGAAATGTAATCGTATAATATTATGCTAACAAGTTATAATTACAACTAAGATACTTGTCCTAATTTAAAGTATGCTTTTTAGAGTATATAAAAAACATTAAATGCACATATGAAAGTGAGATTTTCTGTAACCACTCAGGCCTTGCAGTACACATCATACTTCATCTTTGCTTCCAATTTGGTTCCCCCTAAACACTCTTTAAATTTGGCATCCATTTCCTTGCTTTGAGCGTCACTAAAAAGATTCTTCCAATCTCCAACAACACCTGGAATAAACAAAAGAAAAAGATACTCCTGACTACAATGAATGTAGGGACTGATTTAAAAGAAGAATGTCTGATTCCTTTATTATGATACTAGAAGACACACTTGGCATTGTTTGGGTCCTTCAGGGCAGGAGGTTGAGGATGTGGGGGGAGGGAGGCGTGCAGAAGTCAGGGTAGGGGGTTGGGAGATGTGAGAGCTCAGGGCAGTGGGTAGGGGTGGCCACTGGATCCTCCCCAAGGCCAGCCCTGGGGTGGTGCAGGCTGCCCACCAGCTCCTCTCTGGGGCCAGCCCAGGGGCAGCAGGAGCCACACTGTCCCACCAGTAGCTGCTCTCCAGAGCA